GTCTACACTGTCCCTCTCCCTAATCCACACATTCCTTACCTGTCTGTCTAACACAGTCACTGCTCCTCAGTCTATAGTCTTTGTTCCCAAGTCTATAAAACTCCTCTATCTACACAGTTCATTCCCATCCCTACCCTTCATTTTCCACACTAAGTGAGTCCCTTTTTACAGTTTATAGCCCTCCATATTACTTGTAAGTCTAGATTTGCCCCTTGCCGCCACTGGTTGACTTAGCGGCTGACAAACGTACTGGGTGACCATATACATCAGGGATGTATGAAGCCGATTATTACCTGCGTGTAAAACACACAGGGACGTGATACAGCAGATTATCTGCATTCCCTGATTTTGATGAAGATGTGTTTTGTAATCAGCTTAGTTTTTTTTCTCTCGCCTCTAAAATCTGTGAAAAGACTTGGTTATAATCCTGTTGACGAGGGATGCCTTTGATTTGATGATGGTAAAACCTTACAAACAGCCTACCTCAGCCCTGTGTCACCCACTTCTGATGAAAGCTTGCGCTCATTTGGTTTAAATCCTATTGGAATACATAATCTCAATGTGAAAGCCTTGGGAATCAATGTCCTTTGTCCATTTCAATCAAGTCTGTATACAACACTAACATACGAAGAGAATGAAAGTCATTGGATAAGTTTTCTCACAACAAGTCAATCCTTATTTTAGGAATTTAAATATGTCTCTTTAAAAATCAAATATGATGTTTTCCGAATATTACATATCACTTCTACTTTAAAACAGGTGTTAACAAGAGGCCCATGGGGCCTGTAATGCTCACCTGGCTTTGGTTGGCTAAATCTACATCTGAACTAAAGGGAAAGGAATTCTAAATATCTAAGAGCACAACACACAACTTTTCTATTTTCATATTGAACCCCAATCCTTTGTCCTTAAGGAGTCAGTCCAACCATTTATGCTTCTGACCAAATTGAGACAGAATACTGCCATTTTACAGAAGATGTGGGATTAAAAAATTTATTCTACTTTCTCTATAATGGGTCTCCCCCTACCCCTCGTGACCCAAGGGGCCAGAACCCATCATTTATATAAAGTTATTCTCTTTTAGCCAAGAATGTTTTACACCAAATCTGGAACAAATGAGCTAAAACAATATTCCATTGCGGCTGAATCATTAGGAAAGCAATATTGATACAAGCAAGATATGTAATCACTACATATAGCTAATACACAACATTTTCAACTGCTCTTCACTTTTCTAACTTCACATACAAGTTACACATACTTTCTTTTCATTTAGCCTCAGCAGTCCCTAGAGATGACTAGAAAACGGCTTATAGTAGAATGACTAATTATTGTAAGGGAGGTAACTCATAGACAAGGGGGTTGCTTTTGCAGTAGAAATGAAAATTCTTTAGCCTCAGCAGTCCCTAGTGATGACCACAAAACAGCTAATAGTAGAATGACTAATTGTTGTAAAGGAAGAAACTTATAGGCAAAGGGGTTGCTTTTGTAGTAGAAACAAAAATTATTTAGCATCGGAAATCCCTAGTGGTGACCAGAAAACAACTAATAGTAGAATGACTAATTGTTGTAAGGGAGGTAACTCATAGACAAGGGGGTTGCTTTTGTAGTAGAAACCAAAATTATTTAACCACAGCAGTCTCTAGTGATAACCAGAACGAGGCTATTAACAGAATGACAAACTGTTGTAAGGTTGGTAACTCATAGCCAAGGGGGTTGCTTTTTTTAGAAGAAACGAAAATTCTTTTGTCTCAGCAGTCCCTAGTGATGACTAGAAAATGGCTAATAGTAGAATGACTAATTGTTGTAAGGGAGGTAACTCATAAACAAAGGGGTTACTTTTGTAGTAGAAACAAAAATTCTTTAGCATCGGCAATCCCTAGTGGTGACCAGAAAACAGCTAATAGTAGAATGACTAATTGTTGTAAGGGAGGTAACTCATAGACAAGGGGGTTGCTTTTGTAGTAGAAACCAAAATTATTTAACCACAGCAGTCTCTAGTGATAACCAGAACGAGGCTATTAACAGAATGACAAACTGTTGTAAGGGAGGTAACTCATAGCCAAGGGGGTTGCTTTTTTTAGAAGAAACGAAAATTCTTTTGTCTCAGCAGTCCCTAGTGATGACTAGAAAATGGCTAATAGTAGAATGACTAATTGTTGTAAGGGAGGTAACTCATAAACAAAGGGGTTGCTTTTGTAGTAGAAACAAAAATTCTTTAGCATCGGCAATCCCTAGTGGTGACCAGAAAACAGCTAATAGTAGAATGACTAATTGTTGTAAGGGAGGTAACTCATAGACAAGGGGGTTGTCTTCGTTGTAGAAACTGAAATCACGTAAACATATATCATTCCAGGTGGTTTCACTAAAATATTACCATTCCAAAAGATTTTAGAAATCACAGTATCTTTTGCAATTTTTCACGTAAATACGAACTTTCACAGCAAAACAAACTCTGTCCTTATATAATTAACAGTTTCATATCCAATACTTTGTGACTCACTATACTGCCAGACATAGTAGTAAATAAAATACTGTAAACATAGTTTATTTATACAGCAATCCAATGCTAATGCATTAACACTTTTTGGCAAATCAGTGCAATGACGAATTTAGGCATTTGTAGTAATTGCTTAACAACATACTGAAGCAACAGTAAATGCAATCATATTTTGGTGAAATATTTTTGGCATGAAAAGGGCTAGAATAACATAACCAATAAAACAGGTACAATTGCAGTATGTATCGATGTCTGAGAAAAGTCAGGACCTAACAATTTTTATTTTTAAACTTACTTCAAATAAGTAATTTTCTGGATAAATTAAATCATTACACATGATATTTGAGTATCCTGAAACTGAAAGCTATGAACATTTTTGATCAGCACCAGTTTGTTTCATTTTTTCCATTATTCCCTGAACTAATCTGACTGACATTCACTTTCACATTTTGCCATAGAAAATCCTAAAGTCTCTTATGCAGATATTAAAGATAAGAATGATGGTAAGTTTGGTGACAAAGACAGATGATATATCTGTTCCACAGAATTAGGTCATTTGACTATTCAGTCTGTGTCTAAGTTATAACAGCAATATACCATGAAGTATAAGGAAGCAATCACTAAATTCTCATACCGCAAGGGTTAACCAGAAACAGCCATTTTTTTTAATTTGGCCTTTACATGTGATCTCCTTAATACTAGTACTTAAAGTGTACTGACGTAAAACAAAAGTCATGCATAGTTTCTATTCTGTCTAATGTCCATCAAAGGCCTTGTTTCATGCAGTTGAGAATTAGGTCGTTTTAGCACCAGGATGACTTGTATGTAAGACCTATTACATATGTATGGATATTACTTATATATATAGTACCTCTCTCAGATATTGCCTTATCCGACCAAATGAGTTTTGAAATAAGTCTCGTTTCGTACACGGAGTATATACCTATTATAAGTACTTTAGTCGATGGAAGAAAGGTTGATTACCTATCTTTGAAACTTACTATGTACAATGCTGATGGTTCTTAGGGAAGTGATGCCTTCACACCCATATTAAACCTATTGACCACCAATTTTCATCCGCTTATCCAAAATAATTCAATTTTGAAATTTTATATCCGATTGTTCATGATATTAAACTTTCAATATCTTGCTTTCCGTGTAACAAAATCCAAAATATGGAAGCAGCTGATGATTTCCTATATAAAATTTTATGTTCATTTAATTTTTGAAATCTCTTGGGAGAGGGGAAACCTTGTTTAAACAGTCAAAATTTCTGTTATTCAGCATTTTTATTTTGAAGTCCATTTAAACTTGCTATACCTTATTTCAATTATTTGAATGTGTAACATCTAAGCATTGCGACACTTGGCCTTACTTGAAATTATCATGAAGTGCTATAACTCATATAGCTAATAAAGAATTATTCTGCAGACATTTTTTCCAATATCATAATGTTATTTTTAATTACAAATTAAATAGTGAAAAATTTAGAACTGTCAAAAAAAGTCTGACCACAGATTAGGATTAGTGAAATGCAGCACATCTAATATATTATACTGCTTGATGTTACTTTTCAATTTATACCCGTAACCTTGGGAACAACAAACATTTATAATATTGGAGACAAAATCTCCAATGGTAACACAAGCAGCCATTTTGAAAATCATCATTATCCTCAAAATGTGACATGCACAGCTAAGACTCTTATTAAACACATTCATAAAGTTTTAAGAAAATCTATTCTGGAATTCTAGAGGTATAAGGTAAAAAAAAACCAAATCCAAAATGGCCACTGGCTGCCATATTGAATATTCCATCAAATAAAGATGTTGAGAAACAATGTTAACAAAAAAATTGTTAAAGATGTAGACTTTTAGAATAATGACAACAAAAGAAAAGCTATCTAACGAGAGAAAACTGCAGGACAAAACAATATATGCTATCCAATGCCTTAGATGTATTTAAGATTTTTTGTATCAAAAAGAATACAAATTTAATAAGTAAAAAAACCATTGCAATATGTTTTCATGATAAATTATAGCATACCAAGCTTTAAAGTTGCAAGAAATCTTTGGACAAGATTAAAATACTGGAAAAAGCAAACTCTTTCAAATATTATTGAATCAAAATGTCCTTCATGAGAACACACTCTTTAAACCTACCAAGTTTCAAAGAAATTGATTGAAAACTGAGGTAGGAGATATCTGGACAAGATTGAAATGTTAAAATATAAAACAAATGGCAAAATCGCCTTCGAAAAAAGGCTGTGTAGGAAAACACTACTCAATATCATAATGATTAAGCCTGTAAAGTTGGAAAAATCAGCACAAATCAAGGAAGGAGATCTCTGGACAAATGACAGTTCACAATGGATGAACAGACAAATGGACGCCATACCTTAATATGTCCTGTCAAAATTTCTAACATCATGAAAATGTAAGAACGGAGTGTAAGAAAAGTCTTTAACATGATACTATAAGAAAAAATATGGTGTACATACGTTTGAATGCCAGATCATACATAGACAGAGCCATACGGTCGCCATCCAATACTTCTCCCAGAGTCAAACTTTTGTGCTCGATCTGCATGAACAAATTTGCAAGTATATATAAAATATGACACACTGTAAATTCTCAACGACTTTCAGCAAGGTAACAGGAAATTTTACTTAATTTTTGAAAATTTTTGCTTAGGTAGTTGTTCTAGCCATTCTCAGTCATGTTTCCATAGTGATGGTCACCAAATAAAAAAAACAAATTTGAGATACAGAATTACATGGTACATCAATAGTGCATACCAACCGGGTCATTCCATTTCTTTGACATATTATCTACAATCAGATCAGATTTTGGAAAATTCTAATGAATATTGCTTTGCTTTTTCACAAACTCCTTGAATTTCATAATGACTATATTCAGTAAACACCCCTATATACCTTTAAAAGTGTGAACCTTACCTTTTTTGGTCTGCACACTGGAAGTTGGTAATAATGATAGGTTTCATGTGGGTTAAAGTATGGTCCAACTTTATTAACATACATCAGCACCTGCAATTAACAAAGTTACAACATAAATGGTATTTTTGAAAAATTCTTCAGTACAAGAAAGTCAAGGTCAGTTCTGACTGTGTAAAGTTCTGACATGATTATATATAGAAGGTCAGGCACATATGATGAAGGTCAGACACACGTGATGAAGGTCAGGCACATGTGATGAAGGTCAGACACACATGATGAAGGTCAGACACACATGATGAAGGTCAGACACATATGATGAAGGTCATATTTGATCTTGAGGTAGCAATATGGTTATGGTTGCAGTCTCCATTAAGTAGGTGCTTGCATCCTCAATTATCCAGGAAATATGCTCACTATTGCTTTCTGCATCATATGTACATGTGTAACAGGAAGTAATCTCATTTGGGCAGTCTCTTGTGTTACTCTTATACGACAAAGCTTTCAAGTACAACACATGAAATGCGGATGACAGTTCCCATGATGTACAAATTATAACAATATCATATGTGAATACTTTATAATCATATATGATGTAATCCTTGTTGAGACAAAACTGAACAAACAAGTGAGATAATGCTTACTTCTATTAATTTCTATGGCTGATAATGACACAAGACATAGAGTGTCATTTTGACAGGTACCTGGTTACATATGGGTATTTTTGACCCTGGTGACTCCTCCAAGCCAATTTCTATAGGATTTTTTCAGTCAAGTCCAGAGCATCATTTCCAAAATTTTGACAATTCCCATTGCTAAGAAACAGAGTAAGTCTTCAGAATTTGAGCAAGTCCCCCAGGAACAACATGAGTCCAGGACTCCATTGTCAGTGTCCCAAAAATCACTTCAACCTGACCTATGTCTGGGTACATGGGTACTCGTAACAATTTTTTTTGTATTTTACAAATAGCAATTAACCTTTAGAATAAAGCTTTCTGGCACTAAATGAAAGTGTATATATCTTCATTTATAATTGCTACATATACCAAAATGTGTTGATTGTTATAAACCAGATGATATCCACCATTATGTGTCATGACCAGCATACACTGCCTAGTTACGGGTTGATATTAGTAACCCCTGGATCGTTCAGCCAAATAAGCTGTTTTCCTTACAATTAGAACTGTTCACATTGTACCAAAACACAATTGGTTAGTGTCACCAAAAAATAAACAGTAGCAGTGCTTTTATCTAAGTCGCTTTTATTGTAAAAGGGTAGTGGTGGGTATTTTTATTCTATCATTATGAAAAGCAGTGCTGATTTGGTAGGGAATTGTACACTCACAGCTATTCATTACTGAGTTTTTTATTAAAATAGTATGATGCTTAAATATTAGAAACAAGTTAAATCATTTCAAGTCATGAAGAACAATTGTGCTATACAATATAGTGATGAATTGTGCAGCTACACATACTTTTAACAAGGTATGCTAAAACTACATGTAGTTCAAAACCTCAGTTAGATGAAATCTCAGTACACAAGTATTCTTATAATGTAACAACAGGTAAAATCATTGCTTGAAAAACCACAAGCTGTCACAGAAAATTGGGAAGGATGAGTCAAAGGATTTGTTGATGTTAAATACAAATCCTTAATTATAACTCACAAGTACATTAATTTGTTACAACTCTCAAATATGATAATGCACCATGGATTTGATGTCAGGGCCTGACAAACAATACAAGGTATCTCAAGTATGAGATGGGTAAAACAAAATCTCAGGGTTCCTGATGTACCCAGAAACAGGTTAATGAAAAAGGTTAGGGCCAACATCAGGTCAGAATGAGTTGGTTGATAAGTGGGGCACTGTGCGTTGTGCATCGGAAGTGAAACTAGCTGACTAGTAAAATCCCACTCACTGGTGACACTTGGTGTGTGCTGTGATTGAAACTTACAGATTACATACATCACAAGAGCTCAACTCAATCATCTCCTGTACATTTCAAAAAAACACCTACAGTTGTTCTTTAAAATGTGACAAAACTTTGATGGTTATAAACTAAAATCAAATCTAGTAGATTTGTTGTGTTACTTCTGTCAAAAAATATTGATGGAGGACAAAGAGGGGCAATACCATTATACATCCTGTCAGCTGCAAAATACTTCTTCAAAATCAGGCAAATATCAGGTGGTTAAATTTGTAAACAACGCTGAATAAAATCAAAACAGCAGAATGTATGACTAGGATCCTCACAAAACAGGTGCAATAAAAATTTTACTTGTTAATCAGTTTCATACCAGTCATTTAAACAAGGTTTTGAGAAATAGCTGCAACAAATTAGTAACCATTTATCCAGACAGACCAGAATGATATACATGTAGAGTGAAAATGACATAACCAGCATCATTGGAAAAGAATGACTGATACCACAGTCTTCCTCATTATTCAAAATCTTATCAGTAGAGACATAAAACTTTTGTCATGATGAATTGATGCTTACTATATATAATTTGATGCATTAAAGGAATGTACGAATAGGTCAGCTTTATATGAAACATGTTTAATAAAGGAATTGATATAATTATATAATGATAAGACACATTGTACCTTAATGTGTATAATGTCACACATATATAATCTGGACTTTCCATTACTTGTCCACAATTCTGGATATCATGTTGTTAAATAATGAATTATTGTGCGAGATCTATTTCCGTTTATTTTGTGGGTACTCCTGATCAATGACTTCACATGTCCACCAACATCATAATTGGGGAAATGCATTGAGACAGCTTCATTTATCCATGAAATGAAATGTCAACAAAATAGTGCTTTTTGTGAAAAAACTATGATAATGGAGTTCCACAAAAATATATGACTTTACATGTACAGTAGCTGCCAAAACAGCCGTACCTAGCAGGTAACACTTTAAAATGTATCTATCACACCTGTTCATATCATGATCCATGCTGGTCTTAAGTTCTATAAAAACTACTAGCAATCACCCACCTCTACATCGTTACTGCTAATTGGTATATTCTGTCTATGTACCTCCATATTTTACTCAATTATGGTAAGATGCTGGTTAACTAGGGGTTGTAAAGTAAGAGTTTCTTTTCATAATTTTTCATGTTGTAAAAAGGAAATAATCAACAAAATCCACCTCCCATGTTCATTTGTAAAATACATACATTTAAAATGAGCAACATGGAAAACTGGAAAAGATATCAGCAAATCAGGTCAAGCAGCCTCATTAAATATGCACAGAATTTGCCGATAATCAAACTTGAACAAGGGCTTAAGGTAACAAGTCTACCCAGCAGGTCTTCTCATAATTCCTTTGTTCCTTCAAAAGATAACCTGCGGAAACATTTAGTTAAAATGCTGATATATATCAGCCAATCAGATCACAGCAGCCTCATCAAATGTGCAGAATTTGCCGATAATCAAATCCGAATAAGGAATTAAAGTAATAAGTCTACAAAGCAAGTTTCTTAAAAATCTTAACATTCTTTCATACGATAATGCGCAGAAAGATTTCCCATAGAGTGATTAAAGAATTCAGTAAATCAGATCACAGCAGACTATTAAATATGCACTGACTTCACCGTTAACCAAACCTAGCCAAGGGATTAAGGTAACAAGTGTACCAACCAGTCCTTCAAAAGATATTGTGCGGAAAGCACTTCTGGACGAAAGGATGGACGGACGGAAGAAACCCATTTCAATAAAAAGGTTTCTGTCAACTGTTTCTGGTTGTCATCCCTATTTTTTTGCTACCAATTGTAATTTTTTCAGCATTTTGGCAAAAACATTACACTTAATTCTATGTGTTTATTTTGCTCATGTTTTGTTTTGCAATATCAAGAATACTACTACACTGTTGCAAATTCACTTTGACACCTGCCATATATTTACACTGACCAATGTCCTTCATGAGTTGTCTTTTTCAACTAACCAGAAAGTAAACTATTGTGACATTGGCAGAAACATTAGATTTACAAGGACAAGTTTTGAGAGAATCTAATAAATATGCTGCTGGAAAGTAAAGAAATATAGGAATAAATTTTTTATAATATCTTGAACGAATATTCAAAGACCAATATCTGCTTTTTATTTCAGCTCTAGTTAACTTATAAACCCAAAGATCACCATAAATGACAGAAATAAAAGTATTTGCCTGGCATTTATGGAAGTCATAATGGCAATCTGCAATATCGTAATGTTTTCACCTTCAATGGGCCATTATTTTCTGGTAAGGTAATGAAGGTTGATCTTAAGAAAGTTTCAGTATATTGAGGAGCATGAATTTGTGACTATTGATCATGATGGGACAGGAGAAGAATTGGTAAGCAAATAATCTCGTTTTCATCCTTATTTGTCTGTTTCCTGTGGGAGACTTCACACAAATAATTATTTTTATGTACACGTTTGCAATGTGATATGTACCAGTATAACTGATTTACATTTTGTCATGATAGGTAGTCTGTATGCAAGCATAAACGTGTCAACGAAATTCGTTTTGTTTCAATCGATATTGCATTTCCTGAATGTGGTCGTCAAAATAAAAAATGGAAAAGCAAATACGCATTAGTTTGACTTTTCATGATAAAAGGAAACCGGGAAGAACCTTCACACTTACCACCTGTCAAATACAGATAAATATAGCCATCCGACAAATGTGCAAGGCCACGATAAATATGGTCAGTACATCTTACTCTTGCACAAAATGTGCAACAAATTGACTAAAATATTGTACCATTTCAAAACCTTCCCATGCATCTACATATATATACCTTTTCTCCGTCCTTAAAATTAGTAGCATCCGTAAAATATACGAATGCCAACGCAACAACCAAGGCTGTGGCCGCCATGTTTGTTTGATACATGTTCACGTTGATCCGTGATTTCATTATTCAGCCATCCTTTAAATAGCTTTGTGAATTTCCAATCAAATCATGAAAAATAACATTCACTTAGAGGGAATAATTATAATATAAACGATAATATATTTCTTTCCGTGAAATTCGTTTAACTATTTTTCGCTATCATGTCGACGCTTCGAGACAGAAATACACACTGTACTTCCGTCTACGTATTGAAACGTTGCATTGACCAAGATTGCAATTTGATAATCTGTGTGTATTTCTTTTCCGGCTTAGTGAAAAGGCTATATTCATACGCTGTAAAATACAATAACAAAGCAATAGAAGACTCGGTTGTATCTATGTATTCCAGAAAACAACTATTTTTAGCTAATGCAATAAATCTGCAAATAGTTTGCGCATGTCATCTCAGTTATCAGATTTTTCGGAGCGCGCACCTTGCAATATAGTTCCGCGCATGTGTATATATTTACATTTGCAGTGCGGTCCACTAATCCTCTTAGGGATCTGTCGTTTCTTTATCTGGGCAGGGTAGGGACTTGGTGTTTAAAGCTATGGTCGACAAGCAGTGTCGCGGTCTGACGAACAATCGAGTCTTTTTAACGTCTCTTCACCGCAACACAACTTCAGGCCATCGGTATTAGCAGCCGATTTTGATTAATCAAAAGTTTGCAGACACCCATGTTTCCCCGTGCTAATCTATCGCCTCCTTGACTAACCATATTGCACATCAGCTGCAATATAGTGTATGCCGACTTGGAGTAACACCCAGTCAACTTTCTCAGACAAGATGGATTTTCATGCAGCAATGGAAACGTTTGCAGAGGCATGGGTAGCTGCCAATACCCCAACTGCTGTTAACTCTACTGAGTCCCAACCACAGGTAATGTCTTTTGTTTACTTCAATTAGTAGAGTGATAACTTTTTGGACATTCGTCCCTTCATTAATCTTATTTTTGTCGTCGTCTCTTCACATTGGTTGTCTTTACTCATAACTTGATCAAAATGAAATGACAGTCTTGGACACTTAGCCAGTTTGATTTCTCTATGTAGACACATTTTTTTCTACACTTTTCTGTAAGGCACACTTAAAGATGCTGAAACTCATGATCAGAAAACCTTTTTTTTATAATTCAAAGTTTTAAAATTAGATAATATAAGCTTTCTGTGAGCACATAGTTATAATGTTTTTTTTTCATTCAGAAACAGTATTCTATATATTGGATAATGCTTTCTTTAATTATTTTATAGTTTCAGAGTTAAAAAAATTCAGAGATTTTTTTAATGGATATTACACAAATACTTGTTTATCCAAGTATTGTTGACAATTTGATAACAACCACATATACACAAATTGAAATTTATTTGAATCACATATTTAATCAATAACACCAGAGTATTACAGTACTAACACTATGCCTTGAACATCAAGTTAATATGATTTCAATGAAAGACTTACAAAGGTTATTCAACTATGTTAAAAGAAAGAAGAGTGTTCCTGTTTACATGGAAACTTTTCAGAAACAAACAAAAATTCTGCATTTTTCATATGCATATAATGTGAAAAAATAATTTTAATTACAAAATCATTGTGTCAGCATAAATAAACTTGACATATTAATAAAAGGTAGCAGTACATGTATTAACCAAACTCAGTTTATTTTGGTGTGAATAGTTTATTTGATAGGTTCTCAAAAATGTTACTTGAAAAGAATAAGAAAATGAAACTGACAAAATCACAAGAAGCTTTGTTATTAAACATTAACATTTTTAGATATAGGACACTTATTGTAAATTGTAATATCTGTTGATGGTAAATGGGGATGGGAAGGATAAAAGATTTTCTATTACAAATTTGACTCTAAGCTCATAGGTATGTGCATTTCAGTTGCTGTATTTTCCTTTCAAAATGTTTGCTTTGAATATGAAAGAATCTTACCTAAGTGCATTGTTGTTGATAAAACCTTTCAAAACACTGGCCATGAAACTCATATTAAAGATAAGGACAGAAAATGTAGGCTCTTAACCTAAAAGCACTATAGATGAAGAAAATGTCAGTTTGTAAAATACTCTCGTAATAGATTGTTATGCATGTGTTATAATTTCATTGAAGCTAGACAATAAAATCAAACTTTCAAATAAATACCAACAGTTAGAAGTTCTTACGCTGATACAGCTATGTATTTTGTCAATTTCACTTTGGATCAAGAGGTGATTGTGTTATTAAGTAGATATGGCCGTTCCTAATACATTCCTATTTCTCAATAGACATTTCATACAATATGACATGTATTGTATTTGCATATCTTCTTAGTAAGGATTAGTCGTATTAGCCTATTAAGACTTTCACAAAAAGTTGGTAATTAATCCAATCATGAACAGCATACAGGGAGACTTAATTGTTGATTTTTGTGATGTAAAGAAGATTATCATGAAGTCAAGGTATTTAACTTTTCTGACTGTTTATATTCATTCTTTGAAATATGAAATACATTTCATTATAAGATATTTAAGCATATAGGTGCCGCTGTATATTGTATTGATAAGGACTACTTTATCCAAGACTAGATCTATAAACTAGATGTTAATTTTCAATAATTTGTGAAGGTAATCAAGCATTATTTTTATATACTTTAGGCCTTATTGCAATTTTACACAGCTCCTAGAAGTATTGAAATATTGAAATTGATTGATTTTTTAGGAATTGTGGAATGTTTGCCATTTTGATTTTATGAAGTCTCTTAATGTACAATTAATGTTTTTCATGTGATTTTATGATCTTCACTTACCTTAACTGTATGTGATAGCACTTTTTAGTGCAAATCTATTCCGTATTATTTTGTAAGTTAAATGTGATAACGGAAGCTAGAATTGTCATGCTATTGGATGATAAACAGCTCAGAAATGTACACATTTTTGTGAGTGTGCGGCTAAGTAGCATATATTGTACATTTGTGCCTGTATACATACAGAGATGACAGAATGACACCGCCAGAAGTATTAATGGCCAGTCAGTATAGCAAGTAAAAGAGGTGTTTCGTCAACCTAGTTATTCATCATTACTTGTTTATTGACAGGATTAAAATCAGTAGTGTTATAATTTCAATGCAAATATAATTTTATGCTGAAGATGATTTATCATATTCATTCATTCATTATGTCATTCATTATGTTTTTCATTGATATTCATTATATAGAAATAAAGCCAAACCTACACAGCCTAAAGAAATCATTCTTATAATGATTGTAAGGTATTTATAAAATTTCTGATCACCTTGTGTTTGTATTATTTTTGTTAAGGGTTTATTGACCTGTTAACAGGGATGGTTTCAGGTTGGGTTACCTTTTAGTAGCTGGTGGTTACCTTACTGAACAACATAAAATAATTTGCAAAGATTCTAATTTCTCTCTCTCTATCTCTCTCTATATATAGATCTCTCTCTCGCGCTCTCTCTCTCTCTCTCTATATATATATATATATATATATATATACTCTCTATATATATATATATATATAGTATGTAGAGTTAATTTTCATTCTGTAATATTTCAATAATATCTGTGAAACTGATTATAACTTGTTTTCAACTTTCTTACCGATATAAATGGGGGAAAACTTGTTTTCAAGAGTCAAATTTGAAAATGAAACTCAAAAGTCCTTTCTGGGTAATTAACATCAAGCTATGTGTTGATAATAACAGTATAAAGTTTACAATATGTGGCAAGTAAACACTGGTACAATCTGACATACAACTACCTCATCCCTCACAGGGTATAGTAGATTGGTGTTCTAAAGACTGACTTGTTTCTGGCTTTCCAGCAGGTTATAGGACTGTTAGGATTAGGACCAGCAGGATGTCCTGTCCCTCACAGGTTATAGGACTGTTAGGGTTAGGGTCAAAAGGTCCTCCTGTCCCACACAGGTTATAGGACTGTTAGGGTTAGGGTCAACAGGTCCTCCTGTCCTTCACAGGTTATAGGACTGTTAGGGTTAGGGTCAACAGGTCCTCCTGGCCTTCACAGGTTATAGGGCTGTTAGGGTCAACAGGTCCTCCTGGTCTTCACAGGTTATAGGACTGTTAGGGTTAGGGTCAACAGGTCCTCCTGGCCTTCACAGGTTATAGGACTGTTAGGGTTAGGGTCAACAGGTCCTCCTGGCCTTCACAGGTTATAGGAGTGTTAGGGTCAACAGGTCCTCCTGTCCCTCACAGGTTATAGGACTGTTAGGGTTAGGGTCAACAGGTCCTCCTGTCCCTCACAGGTTATAGGACTGTTAGGGTTAGGGTCAACAGGTCCTCCTGTCCCTCACAGGTTATAGGACTGTTAGGGTTAGGGTCAACAGGTCCTCCTGTCCCTCACAGGTTCTAGGACTGTTAGGGTTAGGGTCAACAGGTCCTCCTGTCCTTCACAGGTTATAGGACTGTTAGGATTAGGACCAGCAGGATGTCCTGTCCCTCACAGGTTCTAGGACTGATAGGGTTAGGGTCAACAGGTCCTCCTGTCCCTCACAGGTTATAGGACTGTTAGGGTTAGGGTCAACAGGTCCTCCTGTCCCTCACAGGTTATAGAACTGTTAGGGTCAACAGGTCCTCCTGTCCCTCGCAGGTTATAGGACTGTTAGGGTCAACAGGTCCTCCTGTCCCTCACAGGTTATAGGACTGTTAGGGTTAGGGTCAACAGGTCCTCCTGTCCCTCACAGGTTATAGGACTGTTAGGGTTAAAATTAGGCAGAAGATATTCCACACCACCTCACAGGTTATATGACTGTTAGAGTTAGGACCAACATGTTCCCCTGTCCTCTAAAGGTTATAGGACTGCTAGGGTTAGGACCAGCATGGTCTCCTGTCCTCCACAGATTAAAGGATTGTTAGAATAAGGAAGAAGACATTCAGCCCTCCCTCTCTGGTTATACAACTGTTAGAGTTAGGAACAAAATGTTCTCCTGTCCCTCACAAGTTAAAGGACTGCTGATGTTATGACCAACAGATTCCCTTCTCTCTCACAAGTTATAGGACTGCAAGGGTTAGGACAAATACATTTCTCTCTTCCTTTCCCTTACAAGTGTACTTATCGACTGCTAAGAATAGGACTAACAGGTTCCCCTTTCCCCTACAGGCTTTAGGACTGCTAGATATAGGACCAAAAAGTTCCTCTCTGCCAGATGTTATAAAACTGTTAGGGTTAGGACTAACACATATCTCTCTTCCCTCTCCTCATATTTTAATCGTTGGACTATTAGGGTGAGGACCAACATGTTCTCTTTTCCCCCACTGGTTCTTATAAGACTGTTTGGGTTAGGATCATCTGGTTCCCGTCTCCCCTACAGGGTATGATTGCTAAGGTTAGGACCAATATATTTCCAGCTCCCTCTGAGGTGATTAAAAGGATTTTAGAGTTAGGACCAATACATTGCCTCTCCCCTCCACAGGTTATAGGATTCTGTAAGGATTACGACCAACACATTTGATCTCCCGCCCTCACAGGTGACGGGACTGAGCCCATCAGCTGTTTATGATACTGTAACATACCCTGTAATACTCTCACTGTTACAGAGTTGGGTTATCCCACCAATGCTATAAATACATGTGTTCTGCATCGTAACATGTACGATATGGAGAACTGGAATGCTGAAATACATCCATCATACACATTGTGTGTGCTCAGCCTCCCATTCTCATATCATGCCTCATTTTCATACAAGTACTTCCGATTCTATCATGACTGTGATTGCACTTGTACCCGTTATTTTACACTTATCTCCAGTCAGATCGTCCGCTAGTAAGTAGCATTAGTAGTCAATCCACCTTGATTTTCATGTAGCAGATCTATAGTTATGATTATAAATTCAGTGCCATGGAAATTAAGACGAAAATATCATCATTT